TTGTCATTTAGTAAAAATATTTCCTACATTTCTGACAAAGGAGTAATTTCTTCAATATACCAAGAACTCTTACAAATCAATAAAGGACAAATAACCTAAAAGAATAAGAATGGGCAGTTAAAAAGAAAAAGATTCAAATGGTCAGACACAAAAAGATGCACAACATAATTCATAATTTAAAAAATGCAAATAAAATAACATCTTTTTTATCCATCAGAGTCACAAAGCTTTAAAAAATCTGAATACACTAGATATAGGCAAATTAGGGGGAGGGCAATTTAGTGCAATATATACTTAAATGGGAGGTAGAGTTATTATTGAAAGACTGCTAACGTAAGTTATTATTTTGGGGGGTGGGGTAATTAGGTTTATTTTTTTTTAAAGGAGCACTGGGAACTGAACCCAGGATCTTGCACATGCTAAGCATGCACTCTACCACTTGAGCTATATCCTCCCCTTGCTAAGTACAAAAAAAGTAAGATGCACAGTAGTGGATGTACAGCAAAATTTCATACGTCTAAATAAATTTTTAAAAAGCATGTATCAAAGCCAAATGTATCACAAGAAAAGGAAACTACAAATATGCCTCAGGAACACAGACAGAAAAATCCTTAACAAAATAGTAGCAAATTGAATCCAGCAACATATAAAAGGGTTTATACATCATGACCAAGTGGGGCTTAGCCCAGAAATGCAAGGTTAGCTTAATATCTGAAAATCAGATAATTTCATACACCATATAAATTAAATAAAAGACAAAAACTATATAACCATCACAATTGATGTAGAACATGCACTTGACAAATTCCAACATACGTTCATGATAAAAACTCTCAACAAACTAAGAATAAAAAAGAACTTCCTCAATCAGATAAATGGCAACTTTGAAAAACCCACAGCCAACATCATACTTGATGATGAAAGACTGAATGCTTCCCCCTAAGATGAGGAACAAGGCAAGGATGTCCACTTTTGCCATTTCTATTCAACACTGTGCTATGCATGCAAACAATGTGCACTAAAGCTAATAATTAAAATTATCCAGCTTGAAAAGAAAGAAAAGTGCTCTCATTTGCAGATCACATATCTTGTACCTAGACAACTCCAAGGAATACACAAAACAACTACTAGAACGAATAAACAAGTTGACCAAGGTCATAGACTACAAGATTAATACTTAAAAATTAATTGTATTTCTACATACTAGCAACAAACAACCCAAAATTAAAATTAAAGAAACTAGTTCCATTTACAGTAACTTCAAAAAGAATAAAACATTTAGGAATAAAATTTCAAAAAGGATTTGTATACTGAAAATTACAAAACCCTGCTGAAAGAAATAAAAGATCTAAATAATTTGGGGGACATTTCAAGTTCATGGATTGGAAAACTGAGTATTGTTAGGATGACAATTCTCCCCAACTTGATCTATAGATTCAGTGCAATCTCTGTCAAAATCCTAGCAGGCTTTTTTGCTGAAACTGATGAGTTGACCCTAAAATTTATCAGGAAATACAAAGGACCCAGAATATCCAAAACAATGTTAAAAAAAAAAAGAACAAAATTAGAGGATCTATATTACCCAATTTCTAAGCTGTTATAAAGCTACAGCAATCAAGACAGTGTGGTAGGGATTAGCATAAAGACCAATGGAACAGAATTTAAAGTCTAGAAATAAATCTTTACATTTACAGTAAATTGATTTCCAACAAAATTGCCAAGGCAATTCAGTAGGGAAATAATGGACTTTTCAACAAATGGTGCTTGGACAATTCGGTAGCCATATGCAAAAGGAATCTCACACCATACACAAAAATTAACTCTAAATGGTTCAAAGACCCAAATAGAAAAGCTAAAATGAAAACTTCTAGAATAAAAGCTAGGAGAAAATCTTTGTGACCTTGGGTTAAGCAAAAATGTCTTAAATCACAACACCAAAAGCACAATCAATATTAAAAAAATCAATAAATCGGATTTCATCAAAATTGAAAACTTTCACACATCAAAAGTTTCATTAAGAAAATGAAAAATGAGGGGGTGCATATAGCTCAGTGGTAGAGTATGTGCTTGGTGTGCACAAGGTCCTGGGTTCAATTCCCAGTGCCTCTGTTAAGGGAGAAAGAAAAAGAAAATCAAAAGCAGACAACAGATTAGGAGAAAAATCTTTGTAAATCACCTGATAGGGGGCTTGTATAGAATACATATTTTCCAAAACTCTTAGAATTTAAAGACAAAAGACAACAAATAACCTGATTAAAAAACGGGCAAAGATTTGTATAGGTATTTCACCAAAGCTATATATGACTGGCTAATGAGCACATGAAAAGATGTTCACTATCAACTGTCATTAGGGAAATACAAGCCAAAACCACAATAAGGTATCACCACACACATTCACTAGAAAGGCTAATCTCAAAAACACAGGCAATAGTAAGTATGGACAAAGATGTGTAGAAACTGGAACCCACATATACTAGCAGGAATGTAAAATGGTAGAATCACTTTGGAAAGTTAGGCAGTATCTTTAAATAGTTAAACATAAACTTACCATACTATCCAGCAATTCCAATCCTAGGCATTTACCCAAGAGAAAAGGAAATGTAAGTGCATATAAAGACTTGAACATGAATGTTCCTAACAATTTTTATCATAATAGTCCAATATTAGAAACAATCCAAACACCCATCAACTGGTGAATGGATAAACAAAATGTAGTATAGCCATACAATGGAATACTATTCAGCAATAAAAAGGAGTGAGCTACCAATTCATGTTACAACATGGATGAACCCCAAAAACATTATGCTAAGCAGAAGCCAGATGCAAAACGTCTATATATTGTATGAGTTCACTTACATGAAATGCCCAGAAAAGGCAAATCTATGCAAACAGAAAGCAGATAGAACACAAACAGCAAGGTCTTGCTGTACAGCATAGGGAACTGTATCTTGTAATAGCCTATATCTTGTAATATCTTGTAATAAAAAAGAATGTGAAAAGAAATATATATGTATAACTGATTCACTATGCTGTACACCAGAAATTAACACATTGTAAACCGATCATACTTCAATTAAAAAAAAAGAAGCAGATCAGTAGTTGGCTGGTTGTGAAAACAAGGATTATTAAACTTCAAGTGCCAATCCTTGATTGAAGGGAATTTGCTGGGTGATAGAAATGTTTAACACCTTCTGTCATTGTGATGATGGCTGTACAAGACTATACTAAAAATGACTAAACTGAACACTTAAAATGGATAAATATATAAATATTTTGGTAATAATCAACTTGGTAATATTGGGCTGACCCCCAGCGCCAGAAGATAAAATGGATAATTTTATGGTGTTAAATGATACCTTCATAAACCTGAAGGAAAAAAACCAGCTAGGGGGAGGTATAGATGAAACAAGTTTGGCAATATAATAGTAACTGTTAAAGTTGGGTGATGGGTTATGGGGTTCTTTATACTATTTCTTCTACTTTCATGTATGTTGAAAAATGTATATAATAAAGGTTTTTTAAAATAGACATTTTTATGTTCATAATAATGTTCTGGAGGAATACTTTTTAAAAAAAATCAAAGTCTATACTTGAATGGATTGGGGTAGCTGAGTGATTTTCTTTTCATTTATAGCTTTTATCCCTTTTTCCATAAATATAGATTACCCACATTCAAAATAAATACATTTACATTTTAAGGAGGAGGAGGAAATGAGCTCCCTCTGAAAGTACTTGGGTGTGTTTCCCTGACGATGTGCAGAAAATGGGAGCTATAAGATAAAAATGATGCAAAGGAGATTCTGAGGCCAAGGGTGTGGGTAACCAGACCAGATGAGTAATTTTTAGTCTGAGGGAAGGTGTTGTAAGTCCCCCTAAGAATCTTGTAAAAGGTACAGATCCTACTCCCAGGAAAGAAAAAAAAAAAAAAGCTCCAGAATGTACAATCTGACATATGATTCTAAGAGGAACAAGGACCTAGAAGTTCATGGCCATTGATAAAACCCTGTACAGGATCCCATTCCAACTTTTTGTGATTACTTGACTTCATTACCTCTGCAGCCCTGACGGCCTGATGGAGGATATTTGACATACGGTTCATTTCTGTAAGGATGTTAGGGATTAGCAAAGTACCTGCTTCTCGAGAAATTCCTTTAGATTTTCCTTTAATTTTTAATTGATCACCACAGGACCTCTCATGGGAGGTTCAGTCTGAAAAGCCAATTAAGTATTTAGCAAATATTTGTTGCACGTCCAAAGGGGTGGGAGTCCTAAGAGAGATGAACCAGTCCATTCAACGTTATTTTGGTTTCTTTGGTTTCCAAGTCACGAGACTGCTAAGGTAGCACGTCAAGGAACAAGGTGATGGCAGTCTAGAAGCCCTTTGTGCTGTAATTTAATGCCCCATCACTGGCAAAGATATGGGTGACCTGGAAAGTTATAAAGCTCAAGTGACCTAAGAATCAAGGTCTTGCCCTCCTGAGTATCTATTTTATTCTTGGGGCTGGGCATGGAGAAAAACGTATCCCAAACAACAGCCCAATGAAGGACTACTAGAACTAAACCCCCAAATTTGCTCTACCCAGTTTGAAAGGTATGGACAATTAACTTCTTCCAAAGAACATAGGAAGTTTCCCCTGAGAACTGAAAATTATTTCATTCACTCACATTTCTCTGTGGCCAGAAGTTTAACCTTTTCTTTTCTGATGCCCTCTGTCTTGCAGTCTTCTTTCCCTACTAAGTGATACAGCCTGGCCAATCTGAACAGCCCTTCTGTTCCTATTCCATGCCCTTCCTGCTGCAAAAGCAGCACTTTCCTTTAACATAAGCTAGATTCTTCTTTTTCCTTTTCAAAGATACAGTCACTATTTTAAGATCGCTCAGTAACTGCTTCCCAGATTAAGGGGGGTAAAAAGAACAAAGAAAAAGAAAAAGGCTTTGGGGCAGAGTTTGCCAACAGTTAAATGAAATCAATTACCCAGTCAGTTAAAGCTCCCTAAGAATTCAACCACACATGAAGGATGGCTAATGACAGCTAAAGACTACTTACTAAGCAGCCCCCACGGAGCTAAAGAACTCAGCAAAACAGAACCAAATTAGCCACAGGAGACAGAAAATGTAGCTTTTATTTCAGAGCCCATAGACAGAGTAGCTTTTGAGCAGAGATACATAAAAAGACTCAAAACTGTTCTTTAGGGGTAGGGAAAAACCTGCAACAGGCTCTGGAAGTCCAGGTCAAGCTAATAACTACCCACCAAGCAACAGACAACCAGACCTAAACCTTGAAGCCAGAAAGTACAGAAATAAAACCATAAAAATGCACTGACTTTCCCTCTCCCCCTTGGGTATTTATAAAAGGACTCTCAGTTAGCCCAAGCAACAGGCTTAGATGGTGTGCCTCCTAAAGACCTCAGACCTTGGAGTAGAAAAGTTACAGAGAGCTCTCTTTGTGGTTGGCACTTCATCTCATATTTCATTTAATTATCACAACAATCCTTTGAGGAGAGTATCATCCTCATTTTAAAAATAAAGAAACCAATTCAGATGAAAAAGGTCTGAAGATGGATGATGATGATGGCTGCACAATGTCAATGTGTTTAATGCCACAGGACACTTAACATCAAATTTATCATTGTAACTATTTTATGCATATTTTATCACAATTTAAAAAAAAAGATTAAAAAAATAAGTAACAGATTTAAAGAAGCAAATAGTTTGCCCAGAGTCATAAAATCAGTGTCAGATTCTAGCCCAAGTCTTTAAACCAAGCCTTAGTGTCTTCCTCTGTAAAACAGGCTTTTGTAAGGATTAGATGGAATAATGGGTGGGCATATGGTTTATCACCTGAAATGAATCATGTGAGTAGAAAAATTTCCCTCAAAGTTAGGTAACACAAAGGATTGCCACAAACCTTTAACAGCTTTTGAATCAGAATATCAAGGTAGGAAAAAGTTTATGAAGAGATACCTTATTCAGGGGTTGCAAATTCAGCCACCTAGAGGGGCCATGCAGACGGCCTAAATGATGAAGCTGCCAAGGAATAAGACAAGAGGGAGTGGAAGAGAGAATGAAGAACTGGGCCCTGCCGAAGGAATGCTCGTGCTGGGGAATTTGGGACCAAATTTTCAAAGAGAAAATGAAAATCTAGAATTTTTATCATGTGAAATCTCCCAATTATTAAATACTGGCAACTAATTAGAAATAACTTTAAAGTCCTGTGCCTGCCAACAACCCCTGCCCCTTGCCAATCAAGTCCACATGAAGATGTCGTCCATAAATTGCCAATTTATAGCATCTGATCTACTGCAAGTAGAAACTAAGGCCCAAAGATGGTAAGAGACTTGACAGGCAACCCAGACTTCCTTCTAAATTGGCTTAAGAATTGAGCTCCAATCTGTGATTTGATTTTTGTTTTTTAAGAACTCCTAGTAGCAGCAGCATACCCTCTGAATACAAAACCTTCAGATTTCAAACCCTGGAAGGTCTGTCAGTTTAATGCTCAGACATAGATGAGAAATCATGATAGGAGGCAGCAAAGGAAGCAATGAAGACAAATGAGATAGAACTGAGAAGTCGTAGGTGTCCTCAACTGCGTGCCATTTGGGAAATACTACTGGCAGCAAATGGCTCAGGGATCAAAGCAGGTTTGGGGGGTTAAGTGGCTCCTATCATTCGTCTGTGGCCAGACGGCCCTGTTCATCCTGGGTCCTTCCCACCTTCCTGTTGGTGCCCAGAGATCAAAACTCAGTCTTCTTCAACATTCTGTGACCTGCTTCTTTAATGCTGAGATCAAAGAGTGACTTTTGTCCAAGTTGTAAAAGAGAAACCAAGAGGCAATAATGCTGTCTCTGCCTCCTCTGTACTTCCTGGGGGGGATTAAAGGCACTCCTTTAAAGGGATTCCTCAGAGAAACACATTTGTACCAAGGCCTGGTATAGGCACCCCAGCTCCAAGGACACTGGCTCCTGCAGAATACACGCCAGGTGGAGCAACTAGAGAGATCAGACAGACAACACAACCAACAGAGACCAGCTTGGAAAGGCCGCAGGGGCTACAATCATGAGAGAAATCAAAATCAATCTGATTTAAAGGCGTATTAGCAAAAGTCACCT